GGAAACCACCTGGCCATGAACCAGGAGGTCATGGTTCAATTCCTGGTCAAGGCACATGCCCAGGTTGCAGGCTCGATCTCTAGTGGGGGGTGTGCAGAAGGCAGCTGATTAATAATTCTCTCTCATCATTGATGCTTCTCTCCCTCTCCCTTCCTCTCTGAAATCAGTAAAATATATTTCCTTTTCATGGCTAGATTCTTTTGTATGCCCTAATGTGCCTGGCACACTGTTATTAATGTCATGTGCTCCATAAGTATCTGATGAATACATCAATACATGCTTTTCAAATGTTACAAAAATACCAGTCGAAGTTATTATTATAGCTAACTTTAGGCCTATGTTACACTTTTATGGGGTAGAGATATTCATATTTACTCCTAAATGGTCAGTCCGCTCTCTCCACAAATCAAATCTTAGAAACAATTGTTAGCAAGAAACTTTGTTATATCTATTGCAGACATTTTGTTACAATAAATGGAACCTGCAACAAAAAATTTTCCAAGCTAACCACATATTTCCAGTGATAGTGTTATGTTGGGGTCCAGCCCCAGCAGGTCCAGAGGTTCCCAAAGGTGTGGACAGAGTCGGCGAAGAAGGAATGACACGGATGCAGGGTTCAGTTGATCAACATGGTTGGGTTCTCTCTAGCCAGGTTCTCCAGCCAGGTTCCCTCTCTAGGTTCTCCAGCCAGGTTCTCTAGCCAGGATCTCCAGCCAAGTTCTTGCCAGGTTCTCTTGCCAGGTTCTCTTGCCATGTTCTCTCGCTAGGTTCTCCAGCCAGGTTCTGTCTCTAGTATTTCTTATAACAACGTAAACACATTCAAACCTGTGAAGAATTTTTGTGAGTTTGAGCCAAAATGTCGACAATTGCTGGGAAGCAGAATCTCAGCGGGTTGGGATAATGCTCTGGAGAATGGTGTTTTTTCCCCCTTGTTTTTATACATTACATTCAGAGGAAGAGACGTACGTGGGTGAACTGGGAGTATACAACTCCCAGCCAGGTTAGAATGTGCTTCTTTAATCCGGTTAACAGAGCATGACTAATCTAGACAAACATGGTAATTGACCATACCTCTGCTATGCTTCCCATTGGCTAATCAGCAGGATATGCAAATTAACCCAGGAGTCACAGTCACCCTTGGACCTGGGAGTCAATGAACTCCATTGGTGATAGATTAGAGAGGTGGGGGAAGACAACTCTGGGATTGGATAAAAAGTAAAATGATAAGACAGTACTTTTACTTAGGTGGGTACAAAATAGTTAACAGGCAACAATTAATATGATAATAACAATGAAGGAATTTGTGGCATCTGTCTTCGCGTGCGCAGGGCATTTGGCTGTGCCCCGAGGGGTCTGGGAAAAAGGGAAGTTACAAGTTACCCAGACATTTCAAGGATATGTTATCCTAGATGCAAAAAGATGATAGGCTCAGTTAAGGTAAAGATTGACCTTGTCAGGGAAGATACCAGCCTAGGACGGAACCACCTACCATAACTGCTTTTAGTTACAGTTTAATTTCAGACCATCCTTGTGGTTACTTTAGGCCTTAGAGTTTGCAAGACCGCCATGCAGGCCTTCCCGGAGCTTGTTGGGTTAGCATGTGGCCCCTTTTGTCCACATAACTATAGCTAGTCCCCAATATTCTGTTTTTGCCCCTAACACTGCCTTCTTACCCCCACCCCTACCCCCCTGCAGGCTCTTCTTTTCCAGCCCTTGTGGGGCTTCCCCTCTGGGTCCTTAGATTCCTGGCTTGGTGGGTCTGGAGCAGCGGTTCTCAACCTGTGGGTCGCGACCCTTTTGGCGGTCGAATAACCCTTTCACAGGGGTCGCCTAGGACCATCCTGCATATCAGATATTTACATGACGATTCATAACAGTAGCAACATTACAGTTATGAAGTAGCAACGAAAATAATTTTATGGTTGGGTCACAACATGAGGAACTGTATGTAAAGGGCCAGAAGGTTGAGAACCACTGGTCTGGAGGAACCGAATGGGAACATATGTCGCAGGCCTGCACTTTCTCGTTCACCTGGCTGCCTCTCGCTGATAATGAAGGTTTTGTTTCTGAATTGGTGTTTCTCTTCCAATCCCTCTCTGCTCCTTCTTTGAGGCCAGGCTCACTGGACCAAAGTCCTCAGGTTGGATCTGAGGCAAAGTTCACACTACACTTGCAGGGGAATGGAGAACTGGGACTTGTTGCCTCATGCGCAGAGGTCTGGTGACTTCCCTCTGCACTGCCGAGTTGCCTTTGGCAAGTATGAAAAGTGCAGACTGCATCCACCCACCAGTCCAGACAGCCAGCACTCTTCATAGCATCTCCACGCTGCTTGCGTGGCAGAGCACTATCTCATTCTCACGGGGACTGTGTCTCTACAGTGGGTGTGGGGTGTGCCCGCGTCCATGAGTCTGGAAGGGGAAGGGAAACTATAATTGCCTTCTGCTCATTTTGCCTTCTACCTGTCTCTCAAATTGATCTCTGCCAGCGCTCATGTTCAGGCAGATGCATCTCTTCCCTGAATCCTCCCAGCAGTCTCTTTACCTGTCTTCATATTTCCAGGCCCGCCCCCTTGAGTTTTTCCTCTATACGGCAGCCAGAGTGTAGAACACACGCTGACTTTGGATGATGGTATCTGAGAAAACCCTGTGGGATTAGGCCCGTGCCCTTTCTCTTCTCTCTTGTCCCATTGCCTGGAGTTTATGTTCTTGTAACTCAGAATTGCCAAGTATGGCCCTTCACATACTGTATTGCCTTGTGTTTGATTTTGCCTGTGTTCCCACCCTCTGGAATGTACTTCCCGGCCTTCCATGTTGGCTGTGACTCATCCTGGGAGACTCAGCTTGGGGGTTAGCCCCCGAGGAAGCTTCCCTGGCAGTCCCAGGCTGACCACATACCCCTTCTCTGGGCTCCTTGGGCACTGGTGCTTTTCTGTGTATTTACTGTATTGTAATCTCACCTTCTAGACCAGCGGTTCTCAACCTGTGGGTCGAGACCCCTTTGGGGGTCACACGACCCTTTCACAGGGGTCGCCTAAGACCATCGGAAAACACATATATAATTACATATTGTTTTTGTGATTAATCACTATACTTTAATTATGTTCAATTTGTAACAATGAAATTGGGGGGCATCACAACATGAGGAACGGTATTAAAGGGTCGCGGCATTAGGAAGGTTGAGAACCACTGTTCTAGACTCTGAACTCCTTGAGGGTAGAGATCGAGTGTGTTTAGTTCACCTCTGTGCACTCAGCCTCCAGTGCCAGGCTTGGCACAGCCAGCAGTTTGATGACTAATAATCTATATATACAAAAGCCTAAGTGACCAAAGGACCGCACTGACCACCAGGGGGCAGAAGCTCAATGCAGGAGCTGCCCCCTGGAGGTCAGTGCTCTCCCACAGCCAACCCCTGCAGCGGGCCAACCTCCCGTGGTCCCTCCTGGCCCCAATCAGGACTGGCTAGATGGCCCCAATTGGCCCTGATCGCCCACCAGGCCAAGGGACCCCACCCGTGCACGAATTCGTGCACCGGGCCTCTAGTAGTTATTATAGCAGCAGTGAACATTGAGAACTTACATGTAAGATCATGTAGTTCATCCTCATGATCTCCCAATGAAGACAGCGCCATTATCATGACTATTTTACAGATTATAGAATCGAGGCTCAGGGAACTTAAATAATTTAGCCTGGGTCACATGGCGAGTAAGTGGTTATAATAAGTCTCTCAACTATTCTCCCCCAAAGTGAAAATTGCCACTAAGGCCAATCCCTGGGATGGGAAGTCCCTGAAGCCTGACAGTCTCCGGTCCCAGCTGGAGACATCACTGAAGCGATTGCAATGCTCCCAGGTGGACCTCTTCTACCTGCATGCGCCTGACCATGGCACTCCCGTGGAAGAAACGCTACGTGCCTGCCACCAGCTTCACCAGGAGGTGAGGGTGGCACCCCGAGCTCCGGGAGGAGGTCTGCTGCTCCCTCTTTGGCCTGTCATTACCCAGGAGCGTGGAGGCTCCAGGGCTGTTCTAAAGGATCACTCCTAGGGTCTTCACTGTGGTTTTCTCTTCCTGGTCTCCTGGAATGTGTTGGGTTCTGACCATCACCTCTCCCCTGCAGGGCAAGTTTGTGGAGCTTGGCCTCTCCAACTATGCAGCCTGGGAGGTGGCTGAGATCTGTACCCTCTGCAAGAGCAACGGCTGGATCCTTCCCACTGTGTACCAGGTGCGGGGCAGGTCTGCAGAGGCCTCGGTCTCCAGAGCTCCTGCTGATCCCAACTTCTCTTGGCCCCTCTGACTGACCCCATGCCCTCTCCATAGCATCCATTCCCCTGCTCACAGCCTGCATATGAGCCCCAGGTGCCCTCCGGATGATGTGCAAGCTCCTCAGCCTGGCCAGTGGTACCTGCTCTCTCTGGCCCTGGCTCCCCTTTCTGCCTACGTAAATACCTTGGTCCCATCCTTCCTGCTTCCTTGCTCTGCACGTCAGCCCAGAACACTCCTCCCCCTTCGCCCTGGTAGAAGTGCTCTTTCCTGATGCCCCCGAGGGGCCTCTAATCTCCAGACCTAATCATCCTACGTTCAGCGAGCACCTGCCATAATCATAGAATCCGCCTTTGTTGTGATCATCTGTCTCCTCTCTGTGTCTTTAACTCGCCTCTGACATCTCTTGGGGACAGATTTGCTGGACTTACTCGTGTTTGGAAGCCCAGTGTCCCTCGCACAGTTGGTGCCCACAGATATTTGTGGAATGATAGCTCTAGTCTAGTTTCCCTTCCTGGGGCCCAACACTCTCCCCAGCCCCTACCACCACTTGTGATCTGGGAAATCATTGCTCAAGTCCTAGGCAGGTTTTGACTGAAGGTTTTAAAAGACGGTTGCTGGGGTCCCTCCCCTTGACACGTGCACCCTCTCCAGCCGGCCCTTCTCCCCGCAGGGCATGTACAACGCCACCACCCGGCAGGTGGAAACGGAGCTCTTCCCCTGCCTCAGGCACTTTGGACTGAGGTTCTACGCCTACAACCCTTTGGCAGGTACTGGCTGTTGTGGGGACAAGGCTCCTCCTGGGGTGGGTGGTCATTCCTGGTCCTGGGGGGCGGGGAGGTGTTTGACAAGAGGCTGGGCTGTGTCTTCCATCCTTCCTGGTGCCCCTACCCCAGTCCAGTCCAGAAGAGCCTCTGGGAAGAAGGCAGGTCAGGGGATCTGACTGCGGCCTTCTCACAGGGGGCCTGCTGACCGGCAAGTACAAGTATGACGACAAGGACGGGAAACAGCCTGTGGGCCGCTTCTTTGGAAATAGCTGGTCTGAGATCTACAGGAATCGGTGAGCTGGAGAAGTCTGTGTCAGGGGTTTGGGGGTGGGGCTGTTGTCCTGATATGTGAGTGGAGAAGTTCTAGGCTGCTTTCCTTGGGCTCCAGGCCTTCCCTTGCAGCCTGGACCTATGTGTCTGGATTCCTGCAGGAATTACCAAACCCTCTGTGGGGCTTCTTCTTGTTTTCTTGGGACCTCTGGGAGGAAATGAGGATCCCTGTCCTTAATACCAGGTGGTCTTCCAAGCCACAGCTGTTCCTGGGAAATGCTCATCACCTGCCAAGAGGGAAGGAAAGAGCCCTGGATTGAGGCTCAGGAGGCCTGGGGCCTGCCCTTTGCTCCACTGGGCAAGTGAGGGCAGGCTTTGTGTTCTTAGGAATAAAGACGTAGTGAAGGTCTCTGGTGAGGGAGCCACATCCTGAGTGGCTCTGCTGTCTAATAAGGCAGGAGACCCACTGCTAGAGAGGACACTCCCCCCCAACCCCCCAGACCCCATGCTGTGGGGTTGGGGTGAGCACAGCTGCCCTGGTTGGCTCTTTGCCTGTGGCCCCAGTGTGACTGACCCCATGCTACTGACCTCTGTGCCACCCCCCTCACCTGCCCAGCTTCTGGAAGGAGCACCACTTCCAGGCCATTGCCCTGGTGGAGAAGGCCCTGCAGGCTGCATATGGCAGCAGTGCCCCCAGCATGACTTCAGCTGCCTTGCAATGGATGTACCACCACTCACAGCTCCAGGTAACCCAGCCATCCCAGGAGGCTCTGCTTGTTTTCCCTTTGTTGGAGGGGTGGGGGAGGGTGGAGGGATGGAAGAAGGGAGAGGGCGACAGTTATTTGGTGACTTGAGATTACTCCTTTGCTTCCTCTGAAATTTCTCCATGGCCCAGTTCTTTTGGGTGGTAATCTTGTTCTTAAGTTCCTTTAGTGCCCTGTCACGAATACTGTTGGCCTCATTAAGTATAATCCTAACTTTATTTTTAAATCCTCACTCGAAGACTGATTTTTCTTTTTCTTTTAAGAGAGGAAGGGAGATGGGTGGGGTGTAGAGAGAGAGAGAGAGAGAGAGAGAGAGAGAGAGAGAGAAACATTGATTCGAGAAACATTGATTGGTTGCCTCCGGTATGTGCTGCAACTGGGGATCAAACCTGCAACCTAGGTATGTGCCCTGGCCAGGAATTGAACCTGCAGCCCTTTGGTGTACTGGATGATGCTCCAACCTATTGAGCCACTCAGGCAGGGCAGCATAACCCCAGTTTTATTGAGGAAACTGGCTCAGAGGCTATTTCCCTTGACCAGGGTCCCACGGCTACACATGACTGGACATGAACATCTGAGACCTACCTTTCTTAACCATTAGCGTTTATTCCATCCTTGGCTGCTGGCTCTGCAGCGTCCAGCTCTGTCGCTGGTGGGGTTGTCCTCTCCCTGCTGTTTCCCCTCCCCCAGCCGGGGCACTGCCTGGCTCCCTTTACTGAGCACCTGTTACGTGCCAGGCCTGAAGCAAAGTACGTCACAAACTTCTAATTCCCACAATCACCCTGAAGTCCAGAGAGGTCAAGTCAGTAACCCAGGTTTACCCGGCTGCTGAGTGCAGAGGCTCTGAACTCAGTCTGTCTGCTGAGGCTGGAGGCAGGGCTTCCGAGCTGTTAGAGGCAAGGTAAGTTTTTTCTGGAGTAACAGAGGGTATAAACAGACATCAGACCCCAACCCAGCAGGGGCAGGGCTGGCGGTGTGCATGACCGCACCACGGTGCACCGGTGTGTTGATGTCTGTCCATCTCCCCTTCCAGGGCACGCATAGGGATGCGGTCATCCTGGGCATGTCCAGCCTGGAGCAGCTGGAACAGAACCTGGCAGCCACCGAGCAAGGGCCCTTGGAGCCAGCTGTCGTGCAGGCCTTTGATCAAGCCTGGCACCTGGTTGCCCATGAATGTCCCAACTACTTCCGTTAGGCCTCGTCCTGGCTGGAGGTGGCGGAGGGTCCACGACGCCTGTCACCGTTCGTTCTCTCACCCTGGCCTTAAGCTGCCTATTTAGCCTGTTCTTTTCTCAGCATCTGTTCACAAATGTCTCCTATTTCCTTGGAATCCTCCCAGTTGCCTTCACAAAGTGTAAAGGCAGGGGCTGTGAGTTGCTCCAGCGTTTCCTATCGGAATAAAGCAGGCACTTGACGGGTAGCCCAGGCCCGGAACAAACCCGTGAGCTTGTTTCTTCCGCTGCCAGCGGCCCTACCTGTCTTCCCAAGGGCTGGGGAGAAGGGTGCAGGAGTAGGGACTCTCCACTGAAGGGCAGAGGCAGTGGGAAGGGCTCCCCAGCCTCCTGTGCTGACTGTAGCCTGACCTCTCTCAGGAGGGACTGGAGGTGGCCCTTCCACACACGATAAATGGCCATTGAACCTGAAGTAGGTTTTCTCTCATTCAGAAATGGCCTCACTGGGTCATTTACAAATAGAACAATTTGGGCAAAAGCCTATGGTTAGAGTCACCACCAAGAAGACCTCCCAGGAAGCTGTGGAACATTAACACTCGATTTCCCCAGCGGCTTTCCTCTGGTCCTAGCTAAAGCCTGTCATCTGGTCCTCCAGAAGCTCGTCAGCTCTGGTTTGGGAGAGTGTGTGTAGGGGTAGGAAGAGCAGCCAAGGTGCCTGCTTTTCTTTTTATAAAACGTTTTTATTGATTTTAGAGGAAGGGGCATGGAGAGAAACATCAATGAGAAACAGATCAGCTGCCTCTTGCCTGCCGCCTACTGGGGATTGAGCCGACAACCTGGGCATGTGCCCTGACGGAATGGAACCAGCAACCTCTCGGTGCATGGGACGATGCTCAACTAACTGAGCCATGCCAGTCAGGGCCAAGGTGCCCCATTTTCTCAGCGAACCCATTTCAGGCAAGGGCACGGAGGGCCAGGGAAGAGAAGCCCTGAGGCTGCTCTCCTGTGCCCAGAACAGGAACTAGTGCTGGAAGCTGACTCAGGTGGTGAACAAAAGGAACCCTAGGAATCCGAACAAAAGTCCAAACCCAAAGGCCTGTTTTTCTGAGAAAAGTTCCTTTGCCACCTACAGGGAGACAACCTGCAGATGGTTACTCTTTGTAGCGAAACAGTCTGTCCCTATCGCCCTCTCGTCTTCATCACAGCAAAAGAAACAGCTGCTCCCCCAAGAGGGGTGTCGCCAGTCCAGTGTGGTCAAGATGACACCTGGCACGGCCGGGAGGCCCCCAGTCCCACGTGCCCGTCAGCAGTCGTCATCTTCCTCTGATTCTTCTGCTGACTCGGACGCACTCTCTGGCAAGTCATCTCCCATCTGTTGGAACCTTCCGGACTGTGCATCCCACATGTACTTGATGGTCACCTTGAATTCAGCCATCTCATACCCGAAAAGCTTCTGCAGGAGGAAAAGGAACCGAGTCAGGAGCGGGTGTGATCAGGGTCTCTGGTCCCTCCCGTATGGTCTGCAGGCTGCAGGCTGCTGGGCGGGCCAGGCCAGACTCACCAGGACGCGGGCCTGCTCTGGGGTCAGCACGTCGCCCTCCTTGCACACCTCGTAGTCCGACAGCAGGGTCACCACACCTGCAAGGGGGGGGGGGGGCAAGCAGTTACTTCTGGCAGTGCTTTCTGTCCGCTGCCCAGAGTTGGGAGGAATCTGCGTGGCCACCTGTCCCCCTACCAATGCAGCACACACAGGGGCATGGATTAATCGGTGTTCAGCAGCCTTTAGGGAGAAGTGACTGCCTCGCCCATTGTCTCCTGAGTGCTGTGTACTGGCTGTAAGTTCCTGTCCACATCCACCTCAACCCTGAGGCAGACACTCAGCCCCACTTTCTCACGAGAAAATGGAAGCTGGTAGAAATAACCTGCTCAGCCAGGAGGGGGAGGAGCGGGGCCTGTCAGGTTTGGGAGCCTGTGCTCTTGGCCACTCAGCTGTGATCCTTCAGCTCCAGGGGCCTCCCGTACCCTTCTTGAGGGCGGTGGGCAGGCCGAGCTGCCTCAGCTGTGGCTCCATGGAGTGCGGGAACTGCTCCAGGGGCCCCGGGTCCAGGTTCACGGTGAACGTTGCTTTGTTTCCAGCTCGGGCGTAGTCCATTTCCGCAAATTTCGTGAACCACCTTAGGGGAGTGAAAAGGGTTGAAGGGGAGGTTCCTGACTGGCCCACCCGCCCACCTGAAGTCAGTGCTAGGAATAAAGACTTGGTAATGGGTTCCAGGAACCAGCTGCTGTCTCCCCTGTACAAAGTCCCTGGATTATTCTTTCCCCAGAGTCCTCACCAACCTTTCTCGTCCCCACCACACCTCAAAAACACTCACTCATTCACTTCCTCCTTCATGCGATTGGTGAAGAGGAGACCAACTTCACCCCTCAACTTCTTGCTGACCTAAAGAACGAAAGCGGGTAGGTCGGGTCACATTAGAGCAGCGGTTTTAGACTGGGGACAATTTTCACCCCTGCTCCCTACATTTGGCAATACGGAGGCATTTTTGATGGTCACAGCTGGATCGAAGTTAAAGGAAGCCGGAGCTTTAAGCCAGACCTTGCTTTCCCGAGCCGTCGGGATGGGATGCATTTCATGTCACAGCAGCAGGAGAGAAGGCAGCTTTGGCCCCTCCGGGTGAGGGCCTGAGACTCACCTGATGTAGGTTGTCTTTGTACTCATCAGCTGGGCTTCGACCTAAGGCCACCATCATCACTTTGTTTTTGCCAAAGAACATCCTACAGAGAGGAGGGGTCCGTGAAGGAAGTGGCCTGCCCAACCCTCCCCTCAGTCAAGTGCAAACCAGCTCTACCCCTGCTCTGTAGCTGGAGGTATGGTCGGACTCCCACTTCTTCCATGGAGCCCTGCCACTGTCTCCAGCCCACTGTTTCCTGCCTATCGGCCCGACATTCACAATATGCCCACCAGCCTGCTCTGAGTATTATTTATGTGGATATCTGCCTCCCCGTCTGGATGTACGGAATGGGCCCGTTAATGGTCTGAACCAGTGCTGGTGCAGCGACAGACCAGAACCATCAACCGCACTGTCATCATTCCAGCCCAAGGACGTACTCGCCACGTGGCTTGTCCAGCCTGCTGCTGGGTCCTGTGGCATCCCAGAGCACATCCTGACCTAAAACTGACAGGGTGTTCCTAAAAAGATGGGACTCCAGGGGTAAGGGAGCCCCTTTTCCTGGAGGGGTCAATACTCAAACATTCCCTGAACAATGACCAAGTCCAGCCCCCCAAGAAGTTCAGTGCAAAACCAGCCATCACAGTTAATAAGTGACTTCCAGTGGCGGCATGGCACTCTGTCCTTCAGATGCCATCTGTGGCACTCGGTAACCAAGAGCCAGTAACTGCCTCTGGGCTCTGACTGAGCAGCGTGGCCCTTCCCACGCTCAAACGGGCTGCCCGCTGCTGCTCACCGGCTGTGCTTCCAGGCGTTCCGGATGTCCTTCAACTTGCTGTTCCTCATGTTGGCCACGGAGAAGATGAACAGGTACTTGTACGTGTCCACACATTTCCGGAGCTGTGGAATAATTCATGGGGCTCTGAAGTTCAAGGGGCACCACGAGTTGGGCAACACTCTGGCCTCTGATGGGGAAGAATATGCTCCAGGTCCCCCCTTACGACCAGAACTTCAGAACCGAAGGCCTCGGAGCCAGGATCCCTGAGCAGAGCAGGCATGACTTCAAAGTGTCGGGGAAGCTGAGCCATGGGCCAAGATCCAAACCTAGGCATGTGTCTTTTTGTTTATTTATATTTTATTGATTTTTTACAGAGAGGAATCTGTGGCCACTTCCCTCACCACCCTGCTCTGTCCACATTGCTGGCCGCAGCTAAGTAGACACCCCTTTTACCCTGCCTGCAGCCCCGGAGCAGTGCAAACAGTGAGTTGGTGCATTTACCCATGCCTGACAACTCCCAGTTTTTTGACATCAGGCAGGCTAACAAATCTCTGTAAGCTTCAGTTACACAACCGCAAAACAGTGACGACGTCAACTCCCATGAAGGATGAAGTGGAATGATACAGATGGAACACAGCCCCGTGCAGGGCAGAGTAAGAGCTCAGTCAGAGCTGGAAATCATCACTCTGAGATTTTTATTGGTGCTGCCACTGGAGCAAAAGGGCGGGACCAGCCTTTCCTTTCCTCCTTTTAAACAGAATGTTTCCTCAATGTACCGTCCTATACCCATATTTCTAAACCAAATACAAGGTCTGGAAAAATGAAAAGAACAAGCTCTTACCTCTTCTATCAGGTTCTGTTTCAGTTCCAAGCCTTTCTTGGCAGTTTTGGTTAAGGAAACTAATACAAAGAAGAAAAAGGAGACATGATGAGACAAGCTGGGTGTCCTGGAGACTCATTTTTTCTCACCTCCAGTATCGTCTGGACCAAACCAGTCTGGGGAGAGGCAGCCAGGCTATTCCCAGGGTCCTCAGTGCTTTCTGTTCCGGACCTGGGAGACCCACTGATATATTTCCTGATGTGCAGACAAACTAGATATTCCTTCACTTCTCTTAGTTTAACCTAGAATTCCATATGCGGTGTGGGGTGGGTCTTCTTCCTGCTCCCGGAGTGCTTTCAGTGGCAGACCCAGCCTGCTGGCTGAGGCAGGTCCCTTTCGGCTCTTGGCCATGGTGCAGAGAGACCATCTATGGCTGGCCTCTGCTGTGGAATGAATTAAATCTGGGGGCTCATCACCGACCTCCTCTGCTACATCTTTTGCAGTCTGAACCCATGGATGTAGCAATGCCACTTTGGGGAGAAGTAAGCACCCCTACTGTAGCAACAGCTGGGCCCCAAATGGTCCCTTACCAGGAAGGGTTTGGCATTTGCCAGATCTCATCATAGCTCCCCTCACAGAACCCACAAACACTTAGAAGAGCATCAGATGCAAAGCCCAGGGTGCCTCTTATTGACCCTGCCTGGGACTTAGTCCCTCCTCCCAAGGCATACACAAAGAAAGGCAACCCCACCGGTCAGGGCAAGTGCAGCACAGGAGGGCAAACACAGTGCAACGATCCATTTTCTATCATTTCCACTGCTATAGCTGTGGACCAAGCCAACCTCATCCTGTCTTCGATTACTGCTGGGGTTGTGGCTCCCATCCTTGCCTCCATCTACCCAGTCCATTCTCAACAAGGCAATCAAGGTAGCCTTTTAAAAGTAAAATTAAACCACGTCATTCCTCTGTTGGGCTCTCTCTCAAACGGCTGCACATTTC